GGAAATAATGGAAACGAGTGGGGACAAAAGCTTAAAGAGATCAGCCCTTCCCCCACCTTCCTTCCCAGGGTTTTTGTCTCTCAGCTTAGGATGGGATGCACTGGGCAGTGATGGCTCTAGGGGCCAAAGTGACACACTGGGGGAGGGGGTACCTGGTGGTTCAGTCAGTTAAGCGTCTCACTCTTGATTTCGGCTCAGGTCATCATCTCATGGTTTGTGGGATCCAGCCCCACACTGGGCTCTGCACTGACAGCTTGGAACCTGCTTGGGATTCTCTCTGGCCTCTCTCTGCCCTTCCCCTACTCCTACACGGGCACATATACCCCCCCCCCCCAATCCATAAATAAACTTTAAAAAAAAGTGATACACTGGGGAGCTATGCTTACTGTTCAGTCCTCATCACAGAGGAAAGCTGGAGGTCAGGGATCACATTGACATGAGTGTCCACAGTTTACAGGCTGGGTGAGGGGGTGATTGTGGCAGCATTGGTTAGGGTGGGGGAGCCGGGGGTCCGGGGTCGCATTGTGTCATGTGTAAGGCATCCAGGCAGCTTTGTTTCCACACGTTCAGGGTTCAAACCTTCCACTCCTAACAGAGTGACTCTGGACCAGCCATTTTGTCTTTCTGTGCCTCAGTTTCCCTGACTAAAAAAGGAGGATAATTAAGACTCCCCATCTTACAGGGTTGCTGGGAGAATGAAACAGGAAGTAAACACGTAAGCTGCTATCATGCTGCTGCCCATTTTCCAGCTGGAGAAACTGAGGCTCAGAGGCACAGGACCACCTGCCTGAGGTTGTACAGTATAGGTACTGGTCAAGTGGGAGTCTAGGTTCATGGCCTCAGAGCCAAGCTGACCCCCACTCCCGACTGCCCCCACCTCTCTACACCCCCTCCTCTCCACCCCTAGGTCCCCCTGGCCAGCGCCAGGGCTGAGCTTAGAGGGGCTGGCCTGGGGCCCAGGGCGGTGGGGGAGGCAGGCTGTTGCTGGGGGCTTGAATGAGGCAACCTTGCCTGGGAATCTGCTGGGCTCAAAGAGCTATTTATAGGCCTGCACTGGGATTGGGTGAGCCACCCCCCGCCAGCCCTGAGTGCCTTCTCTGTGCCCCCCACACTGGGGCCCAGGCCAGGGGCTGAGAACCAAGTTGGGGGATGGAGCAAGGGAGGGGGCTAGTGGGCCAGAGCAGGAGCAGGGAGGCTGGACCCACCAGGAGAGCTGGATCTCAAGGGTGGACAGTGTCCCTCCAAAGTGCCTCTTAACATACTCAAGGTGACACACGGCCGTGACACATGCAACCGCATTCACGTGTGTCACACGATGACCCCAACAAACCACTAACCCACAGTCACGTCCCAGGCCCACAGTGAGCGCACAGGTGGTTTATATACAACCACATGAGACAAGGCCACACGTAAGTCACACAGACCACATACGACCTCATGTGGCTGCACACACGTCATGCCTCTTGCACAACCAAACCCGCAGCTGTGATTCAAACCGCACCTCTAGTCCCTTCACGGTCGAATACATGCCCTGCAGTACCTTAGCCTTCCTGGCAGTCACAAACAAGCCCACATGTGCCCCACATTGTTCACACTCAACCATGTTTACAGCTGTGGGCACATCTACAGGCAGCTAGCACCCAACTATGATCGCTAGGCACACGGGCACCAACACGGAGACATATAGTCCTCCTGGGTCCAACCTCACAACACAGCCACTCATGCTCACCATTCATCACTCCCCCTGTAGTGGCCCTGGGGGGGGGGTCCCCTGATGAGATCACCTCCAGGATGCCTGGCCACCGCCACCACCCCTGCTTCTACTGTCACCTCCACTTGCCCAGGCTCCCAGGTTTGCACTGTCCCAGGACTGACAAGTCCAGCTGGCATCCATCTACTCTGAGGTGGGCCTTGTTGAACCCAGGCAGACCCCGGCAGAAAAATCAGGCCTGGACCTGCCCCACTGGGGGCTGCGAGTCACGGAACTGTCACATCCACCCCCACATACTCTCCAGGCTGGAGCCTTGAGGCGATCATTACACTGATCCCCCAGAGGGAACCAAGGCTTGAAGCTATCTGAAGACCTTTCCCTGCCCTGCTCCAGCATAACAAACACATGAGAAGTGGGATCTGGTTTTTGCCATGGGTGGGGCTGCATCCCCACGGAGCGTCCCTGCTGACCCATACTTGCTGTGTGACTTCAGCAAATACCTGACTCTCTCTGAGCCTCTATTGCCTCTTTTGACAAGTGCAAAACTCAGCCCGTGGAGAGAACGCCAGAGTCAGATTGGGATTTGAATCCTTCTCTCCCTGGATGAACTTAGCCAAATGATTTTGCTTTTCTGTGCCTCAGTTTCCCTCAGTGAACCAGGGTTGCAGTTCCTGGCTCTTCCAGAGCTTCCTCTGCTCCATCCTCTGGGTGAGGGGGGGGGGGGGAGGGAGTGCCTGGTTTTTCCTCACTCAGGCAAATGAATGGACCACTTTTGGCTGCCCTGCTGGGAGCTTAGAGCTGCTAATTCCCTGGAGAAACAGGAGGCTCTTTCATGCCCAGGCGCCAGTGGGGTGAGGAGGCGGGAAGAGGGTATTGAGCTGGCCTCATACCAGTGGGCAAGGTGGCTCCATGCCAAGACCAGGAGTGGCGCTGGTGGGGGGGGGGGTGGCTAAGGC